TACAAATTCGATCTGTGGTGTGGCTTTGGATGAGGGAGTTGCCTGTATCGCACGACATCGTGCCCACTTTGGGATCACACTTGGGCGCCAGATGAGGGCGAACTGCCCGTCATGGCTTACGGGCCTCGCTCGCTCCACACACAAAACCCCTATCGTGTTCTCGCAGCCTCTGCAAACCTCTGCAGCACGGTTAACGCATGCGAGCACAGCGACTTTCCCTCAGCAGTTGATCGCCGTTTGGCCAGCTATTACACTTAGCGACGTCGCGCGGTGACCTGTTGCTCCACAGTTTAATTAAAGGCTAAAAAACGCGACGTAGTGGTCAAAGCCACCGCGCTGCGACCGCACGCGCTTGGAGGAGGGGAAAGCTGTGCCTCGGGCAGCATAATAAAAGTCAATAGACTAGAGAAACTCGGCGAAAGTTCACAGCAAAGCTGCTCAACAGATATGAATAAAGCTAAAATTCTGCAAAAATCATCGTTAAGACGATGTCGACAACAATTTCGACTGCAATCGGGTGATAAGAGGAGACTTGGGAATTTCTCCCCCAACTGGGCTGTCTGGGAAGTTCCCTCCAGATCGCTTTCTGGAGCACAACTTAATTTTGAACCACCACATTCTTAGCTTCTATTGAATCTTCCCACATATCATAGTACTATTACAACTTGTCGTGAATATTAAATCGATTGGGTGGAGACCATGAGAAAGTCGTCTTTTCTCCATGCTTCGGGGTCATCAGGGTCGTCTTCTTCGTCGTCGTCGTCCACAACACCGTTCGGCAAAGTGGTGTCACCGTCACGACGCCCGCCAGCGTTCTGCGTTCTTACATTGACGCCATTTTCCTTCACGTCGACGACTTCATCAAATTCTGGCTCATCTGATGGTTCGTCGGCGGCTTCGTCTTCTAGCACGGTATCAAGACGATGGCCGAGTTTGTGCTGTAGCTCAGCCAGCACTCGTTCCATATGTTCACTTCGTTGTTTCTCTTCCTCCAGCATCCTGAAATCAGACCTGAAATAAGATCATCATTGGTTTTTGATTTATTTACAACCCATAATTTTTCTTCTACTAGAAAAGAAATGGGGAGGGCTTGGCAGAGGAAATCGTAGATTAACTCGAAAGCGTGGGTATCTTTGTATCCCCACAGCTAGGTGCGTCTGCAATGCGGACCAAGCGACTCATATGACGACCGTAACCACAAAAAAAACATGGTGTTCTCGGAAATTTTGCCATACGAATTGTGGGGGACACTTGCGAATTTTTGGGGAGCGGTCAGACAAACAAACTCTGGTTTATATAATAGTATGATAGGGGGGTGATCTATGGTCTATTCAACCCCCATTACCTGGTTTTTTGGATGTTTTTGGACGAAAAACGCCTATTTTTTCACGAAAAATTTTACTTTAAGCGCACGCCCCGCCCACTGGAGGCGGAGTTTAGCATGGCCAATATATTCCCCTTAGAGAGCGACTCATACTCTACCCATTCCAAACTTGACCCGCCCTCCCTAGGTGATTTTTGAAGGAAGAATTATAAACATGTGGGGGACACTTGTGAATTTTTGGGGAGCGGTCAGACAAACAAACTCTGGTTTATATAATAGTATGATTTATTTCCCTTAAAGCGAGCGACTCATACTCTACCCATTCCAAACTTGACCCGCCCTCCCTAGGTGATTTTTGAAGGAAGAATTATAAACATGTGGGGGACACTTGTGAATTTTTGGGGAGCGGTCAGACAAACAAACTCTGGTTTATATAATAGTATGATTCGTTTCGATACAACTATTCAATATCAACTATCAGCTGTCACTATAGACTACTAGGTATCAGATTTTGATAGAAGCTGGCGTCATTTCTGTTGTTTGGTCTGCACAGTGCAGACACACCAAGGTGTCAGACACAAAGGGTTTTTGTGAGTTTGTAATCTTGGTTTTTAGAAAATTCATTCCTTTGACACTGCATCACCTGCAGCTGCACAGCACCAATTGTCTCCTTCCCCCCCCCCTCCCCTCCCTACGGCGCTTCGCATACACTTCACTACCCTCTTCTGCGCCTAAGGTAACCATCTCCAAGTAAATATTGCCATCGAAGGCTGGGCCTTGGCCTTTTTTTCACGTTTTTAAAAAATTTCACAGGCTATCTTAGAATCACCTTATCAGTGGGCCTCAGTAATAACTCTATTGTATTGTACCAATGGTATTTTACAATTATGTAGAGTCGTTGAAAATCGAAAATGGGAGCTTGAAAGAATGGATTGTGATTAGGGGTGTGGCCAAAATTTTCTCGGACAGAGGTGTTTCGATATACGGTTTACACGGCTGAAAGATCCCATCACGCCCACTGTTGTGCTGGGTTAAAGGCAGTGACCACCATGGCAGGAGTGTGGCATTCTGGTGACGTCAGTGAACGTCATTGATCGCCTCTACGCATTTCCACCAGTGATGTTTGATGACGTAATCAAAACCGCACCGCCCTCCACCCACTGTGACCACTGCCTTTAAGGTTATGCTGTTGTCCTACGAGCTTTCGAAAATCCTTAAAGGTATTAAGATGTTATAACAGCTCTTTTTCTATTGAAGGCGAAGAAGCAGAATGAGGTACGTAGCTGGGTCCGCGAGCACCGAAGGTACTGCCACTTTTGCGACTAAAAATACGTTTTAGGACGCTAGAAGCTTATGAGCGTAATCGTGCACATCTCACGCGTCTGTTGCACGTCTGCCATTTGCACCTGCGTCTCGCTCGTCCTGTATGCTCTTTCGGCTTCCAGTCTGTCGTCTTACCTCGTCTTAATCCATCGACTTCCAGTGTCCACAGCTTTTCCAGTAGTTTCTATTCCTTTGATCATCACTGGTGCCCCAACCTTCATCTGCGTCACATTTTTACTCCATTTTATAGCTTCCCCTAGCGCGCTATTATCTCCTAGATATTTGTGGGAGGGGGGGAGGGGAGAGATATGCTCTTTTGGACAGTGTTTTCACTTGTAGTTGTCCTATGAGTCTCCCACGGAATGTAAACGATATCAGTGGTCATAGAAAGCCGCGTATCTCGGTAGAGGCGAGATAATCCAACAAGAGTCGAGCAGTTTTAGAAACAATCACACTGAACTGAATTTCATAGCATATTAGCCATAAACCCATCACACAACACGACAAGGCCATAATGCCGGC